TTTCATTTTCTAGTTTTCCTTCCTTCCCTGCTCGCTTCTCTCCTTTCTTGCTAGTTTCCTTTCTTCCTTCCTTTCTCTCCTACTTTGCTCATTTCTAACTTTCTTCTGTACATTTTTTTTCTTGCCTCATTGCCTGTTGAGGTAATTGCCTATTTTATTTTTTTTTTTACCTTTGTCTTTGTTTCCCTTATTTCTTCCCATTTTTTATTTCTTATTTCTCTGCTTTCTTCATTATTTTCTTTCTTTCTTACATCTTTAATTCCATATCAGAAAATTGCCGTTTTCTGTCTTTGGGTCTGGACATTTGTAAAAGAAACAAAGTAAAAGCATTTGCTTCTTAAAGAAATAAATTACAGCAACTGAGTGAAATGTTTTCCATGGTTTGTCCCTAAAACGACTGCAGCAGAACCGGGTCCTTCAGTTCTGCTGCCTAAGCAAAGTTCTGGTCCTTGAGGTTGAAATGTGCAGCGATCTTTGCACCAGTTATTAAGGACTTAATGAGGCTTTGGATGCAGGATTAACTGATGACACCAACCACTACCAACACATCCAACCCTGTGGTTTTGCACCATCAACCAACTGGTGAAATGGACGATAATTTGATCCCAGTTGTCTTGTTTAGATCACAGTTCTGGTGGTTTTTCAGCTATTTCCAGCATAGATCTAAAAAAAACTTGATTACTGTAAAAAAAAAAAAGTAGCTGCTATAAATTTCTAGAAAAACAAATAAAAATAGATATTCTGTGAAGTTCTGCTTTGGTTTTAGAATGAAAATAAATATTGGTACTCTTTAAATGAGGTTCATTATTAAATTTATTATGCTGTTGATTGTTTTACCTGATGCCCACTAACCTTTTCTTCTTTTCACAGTCTGCTACCCTCATTGCATTCATTTAACTGCTGCTGCGCCCACTAGTGGTGAGTGCTGCTAACACGCTTCTAATATGCAAAGCTTGTGCTAACAGAGCTTTAATGCATGGAGAAGAATGGAGGAACCAGTGATTTTGGTCCTGTATATGTCAGTCTGAAAATGTTTGTTACCAGCGATAGCACAAAACTCATTCACTAACATCATGCGCTGAGATTAAACCTTTCGCTTTTAGCTGTGGGAGTCTCAGATTATGGAAATTAATAAAACTCTTCTTGGAGCTGCTGGGGGGAAACGGCGTTAAGATGCAGGAAAATAGTTTTACTTTAACACATCCAGGTCAAACGGAGAGCAGTTCCAGAACCATATGAACATGAAGCCGGGTCCGGATCACTGAGAGGCGAACAAACGGACAAAATTAGTATCAGAGTTTAATTTAACAGATCATCACAAGTTGCTACATAACGGGAAGGTGGAATGATAAATAAAATTCAATGTTTTTCACATATTGTTTCAAATCTGAAAAGTGTGGCATGTGTTACTATTCATTCCCTGGTCCATTGCTTTGGAGAGTCTGCATGTCTCTCTGTATTAAACGTACAGACTGAATTTACCACCTTCCTAAAAAAATAAAGACATGGAGAAAATGTTTAAATATCTTATTAGTGAAATAAACTTCCAGTAAAATTCTTAATTTTTTTAAATCAATATTAAGGATTTATTTGCTTAAAACAAAATCCAATATTTTGCTGAATAGTTTACTTGTGAGTTAGATTTGTCTTATTTCAAGTATAAGATATTTGACCAAAGCACTTGGTAAGATTTTGTGTTTTTACAGTGTAGAGATGGAAAATGTAGAGAAACACAAACCTGCTTCCTCAGAAACACACAGTTTTGTTCCCCTGAAAAAATGTAAAACATTCTGTTTTTCGTTTCTGGTCTTTACTCATGATGGACTTAAAAAGTCTTAAATTTGAGTTGATGAAAGCCTGATGAAAGTTTTCTGACAGATCTGGTTAATGTGTAATAATTCATGATTTAACATTTCACTTTGGACCAGGTTGCTTTGGACAGATTATCATCTTAAATCAGATTTTTCCGTTTACTCGGGTTGTGGACAGTCAGTGGCCTCTGCGTCTTTCTGCCTTTTTGATACAGACTCTCCTTTAGCCTGGCTCAGCAGAAAAGCCTCCTCTGAACAGCTTCAGATGATTTGACGAGCACCTGTCAGGCTGCGTTTGCTGCAGCTCCCTGTTTGCAGTGTCAGTCAGAGCGTCAGGCTGACGCACAGCCTCGGTACATCCACCCTGCGGTTGTCACGGCAGCACCAGGAGGCTGTCAGTCAGCCGCTCTGCTGCTGTCAGGCCCTTCAAGACGGTTCCTGATCTCCATATCTGATGGAAATCTGAAGGTCATCTCTGAGCAGAGGTGGAGCTGTGCTCATTGGATATTTATGAGGTAGCCACAGAAGGAGCAACTAGTTCACTGTTTGATTTTTTACAAAGATACAATCAGCTTTAGTTCACATCAGCAGTGAGAACTCTGCTTTCTTTCCATCGACGTTGGACTGACTTGAATCATTTAAATCCAGAGTTTTACTGGAACACAATTCAGATGAAAACCTCCACTAGTATAGAGAACTATAATGAGAGGATGAGCAGAAATCCTAATTAATAAGACAATCTTAGAGTAACTGGAGAGCCATTTCATTCAAAAAGTAATAATTGTTGATGAATATTTAATAAATGTCCACATGAAATAAAAGCAAAATAGATATAATGGGAAGCTTGTTTTTTCAACTTCATTTTTTTCAAGATTTGCTGATTATTTCTGGATTATATAATCTTTTACTTATTAATATCATAATTGTTTAATTTATGACAATTTTATTTTGTAAAACTAATTTATTTTTGTAAATAAAGGTGGTAGGAGAGTCATAATTCACAGTGAAACACGTGGCCTGAAAATGTAGCCACTGGGACAAAATTATAGGAGTTTTGTGCAAACATTTGCTAAAAAATGTTAGCACTGCTAACCCTAAAGCACTAATCACAAACATTAGTTCCCCTAATGCTAAACCAGCTTGGTATTTAGCAGAAGCTAATTCTAAAGCACTAACAGCGCTAACTTTAACCATGTCAATAATGCAATAAGTGCTACAGATTTGTCATTACTCACCTACCTGAACAATTTCACTTCAAGACATGAGGAGAGGAAATGGAGCTTCGTCTTCAAAATAAAAGCATGGATATAAACATCTAACTTCTTGAAGAATTCTTCGCAGTCGATAAAACTTCAACACAACTAAAAGTTTACAAAACATCCAGGTGAATTAGCACTTTAGAACGTAAGCAGATAAATTAGTTAGGGAAGCTAAGGGCACTTAATGTTTTCAAAGTTAGCTAAAGCGTGAAATGAGAAAATTAACTATTAGTTTTATAAAGCAAGTCTAAGCTACACTGAGGATCTAGATGGAATAATGTGAACATGAAAAAGGAAAGAAAAGCCTCTAAAAAGAGTTTAGCATTTTAATGTTATTTAACGAATGTGAATATTTGTTCATATCCTGACGGACCTGAACTAAAGCAGATAACAGCTGTTACTGCTGTTAAAACGTTTAGAAAATAAAATAAATTGATAATTAGAACATTGACAAAAAAAATACTGTTACTTTATCTTTGTATATGTGATCAAAATCCCCAAAATGATTGCAGTTTCATCCTGCTTGCATTCTGTCCCCTTTTTTAAGCCTCTGCTATTGTTCCTCTGATATTTCTCGGCTGTTGTAAATCATCTCCTGCATAGACCCCGGAGCTCTGAGCTGTGAAACGGCTCCCTGGACAAGGAGAGTTTGTGAAAATCAAAGTCAGATCCTCTGTTTTCATCTGGAGTCCCTGTAAATGGATTGTTTGGTCATCTCAGACAGGATCAGAGCGGAGAGTTACGGTCCGCTTTGAAGCTGGTGGTGTTGGTCAGGTAATCTCCCAGCGTCAGACTTTATAACTCTGTCATTTTCAGTTTGGCTGTGATGGAGGTTTTATAGCTGCTGCTGCTGGCCGGCCTCCTGTTTTTCTCCAACTCTGAGCTCTGAGGTCATCAACTGTATTAAATAAAAGCAGCTGTGACTCTTTGCTGATGTTGTTGTTACACTAACAAACCTCAAACCCGCCATACCTCAGTATTAACACAAAACAAGGATAAATGCTGGTGATCAGTGACAAGTTTTATCAATTATTGTTATTAATTACCGCTGCATAGCTAACATTTCGAGTGATTCCTCTGAGTTTAACACAAAATGCCACTTTTCTCATGGTTGAGGAATCTTGGCTTTTTTGGCCTTCAGTTCAGGTCTGTGGAGCTTATTAAAAATGGCCGGGTCCAATCAGAACCAATTTTCATGGCTTGTGTTGAACGCGGGGTCCTGTAAAGATGCATTTCCTCCCTGCCTGCACTTCTACACAGGTTTTTATGGTTGTTTCAACTTCATGGTGCATTTAAATCTAATTGTACTCCCAATTATCTATATTGAAATACAGCAGCCCCCAGTACACCAGGGTTTATGGACCACAAACATCTGCAAATACTTGATACTCCCTCTGAAAACATTTAAAACTGTTTTTCTTAGTAGTTCAGACACTTAATACACTTTAATATGCCTTAATACTCACTGTGTAAACCAACGCCATTAATGTTAATATCAACATTCTCCCTTATCTCCTCCTTTGGGGGTTACAGCCAATCAGCACCAAGGAAAATAAAAGGTACTATAAGATGCTGCTTTCCAAACACCAGCCAATAGCATCAAGTTGCTTTGGCAAGTCAGCCAAAGGAATCTGCAAAGATGTAAATGTTCTGCAAATCATTTTCAACAGAAAACTACATGAATATGTGAGGATCTGCTGCAACTTTAAAATAAATTTAGATTTGGTATCATCACCAAAATTGCAGGACTATAACATCCAAATAGCTTCACTAAAATTCATGAAATGCCCCAGTCATGTCTATATGGGCACTTGAAGTGCAGAAATGCAACAATATTTAAATTTGACCATAAAATGTCAAAACAGTTTTAATTTGAACGCCTGTAGGAAGCAGTGTGACTCTGTAGGCATTTATTACGGTCATTAAAATCCTTATCGTTCATCTTATTTTGTTCCAGGTGTGTTTTAGGTTTATATATGTTTAGTCTGCTTTAATCAAACTTTAGTTCTAATTCAAGTTCTACGCAACTCTAGTTGCAGATCTAGACTAGAACTACAGTTGCCTAGAACTTGAATTCTAGGCAGCCAAGCTGTGGGTGTGAATATGAAACCAAACTTTGAGGACCAAAACAGCAAACTCTGGTCTGCCTATAAATCTAGGTGTCGGTTCGGTTTGAAGTGAACTCTGAATGCAGATGTGAACGCCAAGTGGACCGGAGAAAGCAGGAAGCAGACTATAGCGCAGGGCATTCTGGGTAAATAGAAACGTGTGAGTCTAGCACTAGCAGGAGAAATGGATTGTGATATTTTACCAAAGACAAAAGAGAAATCCTACAGCCTCTAAAATCTGATACTACTCCATTTGTGTTTACATGTGTGTCTTCTTCAGAGGTTTTCATGTCGTTTGCTTCAGTGGTTGTTGGTGCAGCGCCCCCACAGGAGAGAAGGTGAACAGGTTTTTGATTTAGCCTGGTTGGTTTGACTCAGAGCAGTGGTAAAGCGAAACGAACCACAATGGAAATGTAATGCGATCATCATGTGTAAACAGCCTTAGTGTCTCCTCTGATTTGTTTTGACCAGAATCAGGAACTAAAGAGTAACTGAATAAGAACCTTTAATAGATTTTCACTTTTTTTTCTTACATTAGACACTGTAGAGTTATTATTGGATGGGATTTCATTTGTTGAAATGTGCCTCAGCTTTACAGTTTATATAAACCTGATTTATATAAGGCTGGTATAATTGGTTGTGGGTTGGATCATTTTATATACAACTGTAATTCCAAGAAAACAGGTCTTGTCTCCTTTTTTTTATTAAAAATCAGCAGGCAGGATAGTTTTGTGCTCATAGCAACTTGCTTTGACAACCATCCAATGACGAAACTGTCTACCTCTGAAAAAGTCTCAACTCTGTGCGGCTGCCTGTCCTCCTACTGACGTTTCTGTGGATGTAGCGCCCGATGTGTGGGCTGCAGCTGCATTAAAATTCAGAAAGCTAAGGAACAAGAGGAGCCCAGAGTTTGGTCTCCATGCTGCTCCTGTGAGAAAAGAAAAAAGTTTGAGTTTGTTCTTTGCCACAAACTTTAAAAGTGGTGTAGAGTTTCATAGTATTTGCTCAGATATTCCCTGATCTGCCCTCCTGCATGTTCAGATAACCTTGATGTCACCACAATAAGCTCTAGGAGGGACTGATGCTTGATAAAATCAGTACTGATATTTGATCATAGTTTTTCTAACATACTGGGTCAATAACTGAAACTGGGCTGATATGAACAACCGACGTTTATTTCTATTTGCTTGTCATCTGTATTTTGCGTTAGCTTAGCGATGTCTGTGCTTCAGTGGAGGTGCACAGTTAAAGGCTGACAGGGCTTTGTAAACTTTTACATCAACTTTATTTATCCATTCTTTAAGTTCAGCTCAGGTGTGGAACAATCACCAACTTATTCTGAACCGTTTGTCCCCTTCAGGTTCCAACCCGGCTACAGGCTGCGACTCGGGCGGACTGGGCTGCTCAGGTAGGAAAACTAAACACACCTCCAATGCCTGTGCTGGAATTAAGAACCTTAAATCTTTATATAACATGTTTTCTAATTTTATTTTACATGGGAAATATATTTTATGCTATTTATTCCTTCATTTGTTTAATCAAAAGGGTTTAATTAAAATGTTTGCTAGATTCTGACTTAAAGGGAAACTTTTTCCTCACATGTTTCACATGAACCAACTTGTCCAAAAGAAGTAAAAATAAATAAATGGCTTAATAAATTAGTTAATGTGGCAAATATTTAATAAATATCATGGTCAACAGTATTCATTTGACATTTTTATGGCTCACATGTGAAAATGTTATCATCTAATAACGTTAAACACTGTGTATGTCACATGTAAAAGTTTTCCAAGAGTTTTAATTGTTTCACATGTGCAACACGTGTTTTCATTGTAATTTCAGGTTACTAAAAAGACACATTTTTTTCTTAATATTCAAGGAGTTTTAAAGTTTTTATGAGTTCACTGTTTGTTCAGATTCATCTGTAGCTGTGTTTATATTTGGGAATTATACAGGAAGTGGATCTCTTGACATTTTTCCAAGAATGTCCTGTATTTTTGAGATGGTCTTTGGTACCATGTTCATCTGAATCAGAGGGATTCAAACCCTCAACCCAAGCAGCTTGAAAATTGCTGAACTTTCCACTGTCTCTGAGAAAAATCCCTCAGCCTGAAATCTGTGAAACATAAACCTCAGATGAACCTTTTTGTCAGGAATGTGATCATCCAGGAAGATGCTGACTGGATTCTGGACGAACCTTTCTAACCTCAACTTTCATGTTGAGCTTCTGCTTTTCCCAAATCACAAACTTTTTCTGGCCTCTGAGTTTTACAACTGCATTCATGCTCCTCTGAGTGGGAGGAAATGCAGTTCAGCCCAAAAATATTCAGACCCCTGCTGATACTGAAGTTTGTTTCTTATTGGAAAAGGATCACAAATCTGTCAAAAAATATTAAAATCTACGTAAAAGTGTTGGGAATTTTCTAAATTCCCAACACTTAATACCAGGAGGAATTAAGAGGTTTGAGCTGAACTGTACTTTCACTTCCAATATTTGCTTTACAAAAACAAGCATTTTGCAGGAACCAATGAGCTTCTGGCGTGATGTTAGTATTTGACTGTGGCAGAAAAAACGTTTGTAAGTTTGACGGCTGGATGGATTTGTTGTTTTGGGTGATGCAGACATCAGCAGGGGTTTATATCTGTTTGTTCTATAATTTAAGTTTTCTGCTGCTGTTTTCACTGCAGTCGCTTGTTATTTTTGCCTCATCATTTTGTACCTTTGCAGTTCTAGTTGTTTCATTTTTGACGTTTTCAGTTGGGAAACGGCGCCACCTTCAGTGCCTCCAAGCACCAAATAAAACCCCCAGGATGACGCTGCTGACTGCTCCTCTTTTCTTTCTGCTGTCTTCTTATGGTTTCTAAAGTTTCATAAAAACAAAAGAGCAGTAATGGTATTTAAAGAAACTTTTTGTAAGTTTCAGGAGGATTTGGCTTCTGAGGACGGTAACGACTTGCTCCGTTTTTGGGACGTTGTTTATCTCCTTTTGCATCATATTTATCATCCACTGCATCTTTCTCTGTTTTATCCAAACATCTGTACTTCCACCAGCTGCTTCCTCTCCCACCAACTCATCCACTGACTCCACTAACACCAGCCATGCTATTAACGCCATCTCCCACGGTAAGCAAACCTCATCCTCCCTCATTCTGCCTTCCCAGTCATCCATTCCTGTCCTTTCATTCTTGGTTGTCAGGTTTTTTATATCCTTGATGTTTTAGACCCAGTTGCTCTCCTTCAGTTGGTTTGGAGAAACGGTCCCTTTCTAACCCTGTAGTGAGAACAGTGAGGATGTGTTAACACCAGCATCATTTGTCATCTCCAGCCTCCCCTCCTCCCATCCCCTCCACCTCCACCCCTAGCATGCCTCTAACCTCAGCCTTCAGCACCAGCTTTAGCAGCAGCAGCACTTCCAGCTCCTCCTCTTCCTCTGGTAAGCCTTCATCTGCTTTGCTGCCTCGTTGTTTGCCAGGACAGTCTTTGCTTATTGGATGTTTTGTATCAGGACATGATTATTACTTCTCATTTATGGAGTCGTTTGTAAAGCTGCACAGTTAAAAATGACTCTGCCTTTATTAACAGAAAAATTGTTCAGTCATTGTTCACCATGTTGTTCATTCAGTTTTAAATGTAACATGTTTCATTTATAAACTAAACATTTAATTAGCAAGAAAAATATTTGGTTTACCAACTAAATATTTAACTTGCTAAATATTTAGCTTCAAACGAGTTAGCTTGCTAGCTTCAGATCACCATACTCATATATTTAGTTGAAGATAAATATTTAGCTAAATATACTAACCTGCTGTGAAATACTCAACTTCAAACTGAATATTTAGCTTAATGTTCTTCTTCATGTATGTAGCTGACTAGATATATATTTTATATTTAGCTTACTGGCTAAATATTCAACCTCAAACTAACTGAACCTTTATTTAACCAACTCACATTTAAGTGTTTTGCTTGCTAATTAAATATTTTTGAAACTTTATTCAAAACTGTTATATAAATAAATTAACAACGTGGTGAAAAAATTAGTAAAACCTGAACCCACATTTTTTTCTTTGCAGGCTGAATAACCCAAATTATTAGTTTATTTTTGGACTTCGTAACTTTACACCCCATACCAATTATCTATAGAAACTAAATCAAAATGTAGATAACATGGCTCTGAGCTTTGCCACATCTGAATTCACGTTTTTTGAAATAGTGACATTTCATGAGAAAACATCAGAGATGTAGAGAAAGACCTGGAGGAAACCAAAACACATACAAGTTTCTTTTCACTTAATGTATGTTTTATTTCAAAATGTCTTTTCTAAACATCAGATCATTTTATGTCCTGGTACAAAACCTAAAAGAACTAATTGGTTTCTGTCACTGGTGTGAAACTCCGTCAGAGTTCAGAAAGGCTCCTGCTGCTTTAACCCAGTCTGCTTCTGTGATTTCTGTCACTGACATGCCGCCATATTGTTGCTAATCAGCTTCTGCCTCCATCAACACTACCACTACTTCGCCTCCATCCACCACTGCTCCCATTGCTTCAACCAGCAGCACACATGGTAAGGCAGATAGCCTCATCAGCAGCATCCATCAGTAAAACACACTGACTGACTGCAACATGAAAACAGAACCATTAAAACCTGACTAACATGAACAAGTAGATTGTTTTCTTACAGTTTACAGCAGCTGTGGGGTGAAGGAGACTAACCTGCTGTGATGGTTTTACTTCCCTGTAGCTGAACAGACAACCAGCATCACTGCAGCCGTTTCATCTGCTAGCACTAACCATGCAGACACTAACAGCACAGCGCTTGGTAAGAGCAACATTAACGCCAAACTGTCTGCAGAAATTATGCACAATAACATGAACAGTTTTTACATTTTTCGATTTAAAATTTTCCAAGCCAACCTGAACCGATGAGAGAATCTATTGGATTGTTTTCTATTTTCACAACCTGATCGGAAATCACTAAAATATAACCTTTCTGACTGCAGAGAGTAGGCCAGAACTTTATTTTAATTTTAGTAGTTTCTTTAAAACAGGGACAATGTGCAAAAAACATGAATAAAATATGCTTTTCACCAGATTTAGCTTAGCAAGCAGTTGAGTCAATAAAACAGTCAAATACCATAAAACATACATTAAGTCTCTACATTCCCTACATACGATCACAAGGTCATAAAATTTCATTATAAATGGTGCTAAATGCCAGACTTCTGCTCTGTAATCATTAATGTCACGGTTTCTCTGCTGGTCATTTCCTGACTTTACAAGAAAAGTCTTTCAGGTTAGTGGAAAGTTTTAGACTTTCTGGGAGTTTGTTCCATTTTGTAATGCCTTTGAGGGAAAAGTCTGTCTGTGGAAATGCTGAGCTGCATTTGGGTTTTCTGCAGTCGTCACAGTTGGTAGACCTGAAACCCGTCTCACATTTACCAAAAACATCAGCAGCTGGTCTAATACAACAGAAAACTAACACTTTATCTACCCGATAAAGATCATGCTAACAGTAAAACATGGTGGTAGTAGCATGGTGATCTGGGGATAAATTGCTGCTTGTAACTAATCGAATCATGAATTTTGAATCGTTAGATTGTGAAATTAAACTTATATTTTGCATTATTACAATGACTCAAAATGCATCTCAGTAGTTTAAAAAGTGGCCTAATCAAAGTCCTGAGACAGAATTCCTCAAATGTCATCCAAAATCCTTGCACAGTGATGCACCAAACTCTTTTCCTGCTCCCACACCTTTTGATGATAGCTGTGATCATCGACTGTAGAACAAAAATGACTTTTTCACACATGACCAGGTTGGTCCAGATAGACAATTACTTCATTTCAATAAATGCATTTTGTGTTTACTCTGTCTAACATAAAAATTAGTCTGACCTGAACCATGAAAGTGTGACAAAAGAAACAGAATCAGTAGAGAGCTATAAACGGTTGGTGTTTTCCACCAAGGCGGTTCTGGTACCAGAACAGGGCTGGTGTTGTTTCCACATCCTGTAAAGACACTTTTCAGTCTCTACTCTCACTAAAAACATCTGTGCTAATAAATACTAGAGTTTAGTGATGCGGGGAGATTTTGACTCAAATCAGGACCAAGTTGTTCTTGGGACCTGGAAATATTTCAGACCTGTGTGTCTTGCAGAACAATGGCTCTGTCCGCCCTCTGCTTTGAAATGCATCATTATTCTGTTTATTGAACAGGAAATGATTTTTATTCTGGAGGAAGTTACACAAACCTGAGCACCAACTCTGGTTTGGTGGAAAAGTAACATCTAATGAAGCTAAACAGGGCAGATTGGACAGACTTGCATGGATTAGTGTCCAGTTTGCTTTGGAAACAATAACATTTATGCATGTGTTATTTTTACTTCTTAATACTTTAGCAAAACTTGTTTGATTCCACCAACAACGTGGATGACTTAATTACACCTAAAATGACATCAAACTTGATTTTTACTTATTTTGATTCAAGATTTAATCATTCAAACCAACAAATACACATTTAGCGTTAGGTAATGAAATATTTTCTTTAAATATGAGTTCCTGTTTTCCTGTTAAAATACCTACATTTTCCCTGCTCAGCAGATTCTTATAGAGATGGATGGATGGGTGAAGCAGCTACTTTCAGTTGTTTTCATCAACACACAAGATAAAATATCAATGTTTTATAAACTTATTTTTGATCATTTTATCAAGATTCATTAGAGAAACACATCAAATCAATACTTTGTTTCCATAGTAACTGAAACCTGAGAGCCTTAAAGCATCTTTCAAATTCCTCCAGATTGCATAGGAACCTTGTGTTTGTCAGACATGTTGCCCAGTTTCTGTAAATTTAGTGACTTAATTTTCAATCACATATTTAATAATTTCATCTTCCTGCTCTTCTTTATCTTTTAACCACCCTCTTTTCTCTAGTTTCTTCCTTCGTTTCTTCACCTGAACCTTATCCAGGGACGACTCTCCAGCTGCCGTTTCTAACCACCAACCATCCGTCGACTAACAAAGCCGATGTTTCTTCTCTGGGTAACAAACCAGCTGCATGTCCTGTTAGCATCTAAACTCCTCAGGTTCTGAATTTCTATCCAGTCTTCACACCTTCTGTGTTCTTTATTGCTCTAAGATTTTATAAACTTTAAATCATGCATGGGATTCGTGGATCAATCGGCTGAATTTGTGGTGTCAGATGGTCTTGGTTTATGTCATTGGTTTTAATGTACTTTGCAGGCATTTCTTTTGCTTGGAAATGCATTTATTTATTTAATCTAACCTGCTTTTTCACTGCAATGCTTCCTCCTTTGATGCTGCAACCCAACAGTGGAGAGGACTTCTGCAACATACCCCAATTCTCCAAGGCCCAAACATAAAACTCTAGTTAGTGGATTAACTCCTGGAAGAAACTTTGGACTTTTTCAATCGATCAGAAGAACCCGGCGTGCGTTATCGTCCAACCCCCGTTCTCTAACATCCAGTCAGTTCAGTCCTACAGGTCAAGACTCCAGACCTCCAAAGTCACAGCATCAGCCCAGAGTTATTGCTTCAGCCACAGGTCCAGCCTCCCCAGTGGATCCATCACGCCCACGACCCCCCGCTGCCTTCCGGGGTTCAGCTTTCTATCACAGCCCCAAACACTCCCTGGGGTTCATCTCAACCCCCCTGAGGAAAAGGCCGAGTGGAGGAAGGCGACCAGCTGCCACCCGAGCAACCCCCAGCAGGGTGGAGGTTCGTGTGACAAAACCTTCCCCTCTAAAACCCGGACTGAAGTCGACAGCCAGCCCTTCCTCTAGGAACACGTCTCCCATGTTGGGAAATCAGCTAAACAGTTTGATTTCCACAGCAAAGTCTTCATCTTCCACCCATAATACCACAACAGTCAAGACCCCCACAACCAGTCGAGACTCTGAAACTCTTCTTGCACCCATACCATCACGGGCCTCGTCTCCACGGCAACATAAAGGTGAGGTGTCATCATCGTCAGGGCTGAGTAACAGAAAGAGCAAACCTGTAGCGCCCCCTTGGTTCCCTCTGAGCGTCAGCGGTGGTGATTTCCTAACGAGGAACTGGACGGATCCTCTGGAGTACTCTTCAGGGTCTGACATGTTCATGTATGATTTGGGTGACATGTATGAGTACGATGCTGTTTCCTCCCAGGAAGCACTTCCTGCCAGCTCTGTAACAAGAGTCAGTGACACTCTGAAGGAAAGCGATGCTAAAGAAATCTCTCCAAATAACACGAGTCTGATTGAACCAGAGTTTGATGAACCGTCGGTGTCTTTAACCGAAACTGCAGCCTCACCCTCTGCTGCTGTTTCTCCGAAGGTTCCCCTGAAACAACTTGTTGCTGTTTCTGTCTCACAGCAGAAACCCAACAGAACTCCTGATTCCTCTCTTTCTGTGGAACAAACTGGGTATCTGCAAATAACTTCATCTGCCAAAATTCATCCCTCCCCTGTTTTTCTCTCTCTCTTCCCCGCCTCTCTTCATCCTCCATCTTCCCCACCGTCCCTTTTGGGTCCCACTGAGCCACCCTCTGTCTCCTCCAGCAGCTTCCCTCCTCTTCTCCAGCTTCATGCCTCTCCTTGGGTGTCAGGAACCTCCCATCCTTCTGGTGTACCGCTTCCGTCTCCAACCTCAACCCTCCAGATGGGATTTGACCCCAGAAATCCATCTGTGTTATCACATCCTCTCCTTTCTGATTCCGTCTCTGAATCCCAGATCCCCTCTGGTGTTGGTGCACTCTTCCCTGAGTCCTCCATGTCTTCTGAGGAAAGACTATCCAGTGTAACAGTAACTGACTCTAAATCAGACCCATTAAGTGTCTCAGATGGAACTCCACTGAACAAATTCTTAAGAGGGAATAATCCAGTTTCCAGTTCACCTTCGGAGAATTTGTCTGAGGTTTTGAGGCCAATCACTCCGTCACTACATCCGTTCTTACTCCAGCCTGATCTGAGAGATTTAAAGGATGTAAATCTGTTTCCAGATCAGTCTCATCTGGGTCGCCTATCCACCCCAGCTCGGCTTCCTGCTTCCTTGTCCTCTTCGCCTTCAGATATTTTCCCTTCTGTCTTAAGCGACAGCCTGAGGACGTCGTCTGAGACGTCTCCTCCTTCTGTAGGGAACTCAAAACAAATCATAGGGAATCCTGCTCTTTTTCTGGCCCAAACATCAGCAGCTCCCTCTCAGGTGGATCACGATGACCCATTTATTCAGTCTTCTTTACCCTCGCCTGCCGTTCCACTGACAACACATCGCAGAACCGCCGGAGCACAGCTGGGAATCCCGGCTCCTCTGCCAAATAACTCACACCGGATTCCAAACTTAGCACACACACATCAGCCTCTTTCTCCCTCTGTTCCTCACATTCCTTCCCCTGCATCCTTCCCCTCTCCCCCCACTCTTGCCTCCAGCAGGGCGACATTAGCAACCGTCAGCGTGACAGAAGCAGAAATTGGCTTTCTGTCACCCACTCGACCCGCAGCGGCGTTCCTGAACAAACACTTCCAGACCCCACACCGAGCCGACATGCAGCCTTTTGAGCTCTTTTTCTCCCTCTCTGGGAAACAATCTTCCACACTCTCTGGAGATGAATGGGAAGCCATTCCCTCGCAGCCTTCGCTTCCTGCCAGAGACGCTGTCAGTGATGAAGTTGACTCTCATCCTGCGAACGGCTCCCTGAAAGCAGACGCCTCCAGAATTGATTCCATATTTGATCTTGCAGATGTCGCTCCGAAGATGCTTCCTGCTGAAGAGCGAGTCTCTGAAGTCGGAGTGAGTTCTACGGCTGAGAGCAGGAGAGACGGGATGCAGGAAGCTGCAACAGGTTGTTTGATTGCTGCTTCTAAACACACAAACAATCCAAGCATGATGGATGCATCTCAGCAAATCACTTCTGCTGTTACCCCAACACCCCTGCCATCTTCCGACCCCAATCCAGCAGCTTCCAGGTCCCCCACCAGCTCTTCCATCCATGCCCCAAATCAAGACATCATGTCTGGGCTAAAAGAGCTTTCCGCTATCGCAGACACAAAAAACATCTCCATCATGAATAAAGACATCATTCTGATGCTCAAAGACGCCCCTCTGGAGCCAGCCGAAGTGACAAACTCCACACGGCCCAAAAATGCTTCTGAAGATTCAAGTCCTTTAGAAGAACCAGCTGTTGCAAAGCCAAACCCGGCTTCAGATCCGAACCTGTGGAACCACGGAGTTTTCCTAAAACCATCTGCAGCTACAACTACTTCCTCCTCCTCAGCCGCTCCACTCAGAGACCCGAGTCCGACCACGCTGCGTCCCGCTCTGACTGCTGGTTCCTGCCACTGCAAACTGACCTTTGATTTTCCGTGTCTGTGCAGAGAGTCATCAGGGAACAGTATGTTCAAACCGTAGCTGTAGACCGTCGGAGAAAACAATCACGTGTAGAAACCTCCTTCTGATTGTATTAAGTCTTAAAATCTGGGAGTTTTCGCTCAGTGTGATACAAGGGATACGTTAGATTCCTTCTTAAGGTGGTTGGGCTTTTCTGTAGAACAACGAACCTTTAATCATATAAATCAGTTCGATCTTCTTGATCATACAGTGTGTTGTTTGTAAAGTTACACAGTCAAAAATCAAAATCATGAAAAAATAAATGGGCGTCAATTTTACAGCCATATTTTCAACATCATTAATTCATTTACAAATGTCACAGTTTCAAACTAAATATTTAATTAGCAGACTCAGTATTCAGTTCAGTAAATAATTAACGTGCTGATTATTTAGTTTATTTAGCTATTCATTTAGTTTAAATACTTTGCTGGCTCTAACATTTAGCAACATATTTAGTTTTTAGACTAAATATTTTTACTAGCCCAGAGTTAACTAAATATTTAACTAACTCCAATATTTAGCTAAATATTTAGTTTTTAGACTAAATATTTTCAAACTGAATATTTAGTCTACAAATATTTAGTTTATAAACTAGATATTTTGTGTGCTTGGAGTATTTAATTTTGAGTTAAACAGTTTCTTTGTAACAAAATATTTACCTCAAAGATAAATAATCAGTTTGTAGCCGAGTTTGTTTTTTTATTTATATTGAAACTGACGTTTATAAATGGTGAAATTATGACTGAAAAATTAACAACTTGTTTTTGTCTTATAGCTAAATAATCTGAATTCCTGCTGTTCATCTTTGACTGTGTAACAAACGGCACCGTTTGGAGTTTTGCTGATTGGTTTGGTGTGATTCTGGGTCCATTCTGAGGCCTGAGCTGTCCAATCAGGCTGCTGTTTTGGTAGTTCTAGTTTAAATGCAGGTATCGGACGTTTTTTTGATTTTCTGACACTTTTCCTCAACAGTTTCAGTCCTCGACTTTTAGCGAAGTCCATCCTGCTCTCTGGGGGAGACCTTCCTGCTCAGCTGCTCGGATTCTGAGTCCTTGTCAGAAATCTGCTTGAGATGTTTGAACAAGCAAAAAAGTAAAAAAAAATCCCTGTGCAGTTTGCAGGCTCTCCGACCAGAAACAATGTCTTCTGTTAGGGCCTCAAACTAACAACTGTAGATGTAAGAGAGACACCTAGTGGCTGCTGTGAAGCATAGCAGGAGATGGAGCGACGCACTAAACCCGCTGGGGCTCAACGCCATGAGAAAACGATAAATACTGTTAATAAGATGAAATATCTCTGAATATTTATTTCAGTTCATCAAATCAGGAATACTCCTGATAAAAATATGCAAAAATATTTAGAGTAAAACTAATGTAACTGTTGCTAAAATACCTTTTATTGAGGGACATTGTCTTTTTGGATTCATATTTAGATTTTTTTTTTATGTATTCATCTTGAGTTGTGAGTGGCAAAAAATTATTCAGTTTCTAAATGTGCAAACCTGCCAGAAGAATATTAATAAAGAACTCATTTTAGGTATTTATTTTGAATAAAAATGTTAGATTGGGGAATGATTTTCCTTCTACTCCTCAGTTAAGCTCAGTTGAGTTACTGTCAAACTCCATCCACTGCTGGTAATTCTGTCTGTCTGCAAAACATTATCTTAATCTGCTGAACTTCCCGATTCCCTCTAGCGACAAAACTGCACAAATTAGCTGATTAGATTATTTTCCATCTCATCAACCAGTAGATTATCGCCTAAATTTGCAGGTTTTATCTGTCCATACCCAGAAATCTGGGCTCAGCTGCAGCAGCTCAGTCAAATCCCACTGGTGTTTCCAGAGAGATGAAAATAAGGGCAGTGATAAACCTCAGATTTTGGTTAAAAATCTTTAGCTTTCCGCAGATGGTTAGATAACCGTTCAGGCAATCAGAAGGTTATTAGCATCACAGTGATGTGAGTTTATTCACCCAAATGAACTAATCTCCCTCCATTCGTGTGTTGCTGAATACATTCTCTATTTTACGCTCAGTTTGAATGCAAACGATCAAGACTGGGGGAAATTGGGCTGAAAGGTTGAAAACCTGTAAAAGATTTAGGAATCTAGCAGCATCACTGATGAAAACGTTGCAGTTGAGAGAGAAGAAACCTGTTGTTTTGTTGGCTGTTATCTGCTGAGCAGCACTTTTCCTGCTCAGCAGTTCACTGGAGGTTAACATGCCTCTGCTGGCTCTGAGTGCTTGATTCATCTCCTGCTGTGAGGCGCAGAAACAGGAAGAATGAAACTTGAATGAAAAGCTCTGACTGGGACGTTTTCCTGGTTTTTTGCAGACGGTTTGTTCTACCGGGTTTCCTTCACGGTGGAGTCTAAGCTCAGCCAGCAGGAGGTGCAGCGAGCCACAGCGCTTTGGGTAAGATGGGAGAAAAGTTCCCACAGTTTCCCCTGGAAACAGCAGAAAGAGCTGATCTGAAGCTTCATCAGTACGGGACAGGATTAGGGCCAAACGTTAAAAAAATATGACTTCCTCTCAAAGTTATGATTCTTATTCTCTGAATTCTGACATTATTCTTAATATTCTGACTTTTATCTCAAAATTTTCACTTTAAGCAAAATTCACACTCTTTTCTCAGAATTCAAACTTTAATCTCAATTTTTAACATTTCTCAGAATTCAATTTATTTTTTTTTTTGCTTACATTTTCAGCTTTTCTTTTAATTCTGACTTTAATTTCAGGATTCTGTCTTTTTTTCTCAGAATTGTGACTTTTGACCTCAGAAGTTTGAAGTCATATTTTTTTATTTTTTCCTCTTCTGAACATCAGTTCTCATCTGTTTGTAATCTCTGGCTGCTGCTGAGTGATCAATGTGTTTCTTCTTGCAGATTAATCAAACTTTTCAGAACTGGACCCATTCTTTGGATTACATCAGGTGATTCTGCAAACTTTTTAAAATCTGCAAATATTTTTTTGGTGCAGTTTTGTATTTTATTCTGTTAAAAAGATCATATATGAGGCCTTCAGGATGTTTTAAAACATTTTATTCACAGGTGTACTATCATCTCCATGGTAACATCCTGTGTCCTTAAATAAAACTGTTTACTTCACCAGCTTGAAGTAAACTATTAAGTATCCCAACTAAAGGGATAATAAAAAGGAAAATGTTTCTATTTTTCTGTTTCTAATTGCGCCAGGATTCTCTGTCTGTTGCTACTGCTGCCATCTAGTGGACGTTCACTAAAACTACAGTTGAACGTCAAAAGAATGAATAATTATAGAACGATCTTTAAAAAAATCTAAAAACAAATAAAAAAATGTTGGAAAGAGAAATATTGTAAAACAATGTAGATTCAAACACTGTTTATTACTAAAAGACTAAATGTTTTTATTTGTACTTTATTACATTTTATCATGTCTCCTTGAAGTAATTTGTTTCTGCTGTTTCTTTATTTGTATCTGTTTTCCAGAGTTCAGCAGAACGCAGCCTTGAACAGGTGAGTGTTTTTAAGCTTCAGAGCTGAGCTTCAGGTGATGACCAGCTTAAATCTGAGCTGCTGTTTGGTCTCAGTTTCACCTGCCAGGTGCTGCTGATGATCACCAACGAGAGCCTGGGTGAAGCCGACGTGTTGGACCAGCTGAACAACAACCCGGCCGGCACCAGCCTGCTGGGCCAGGCTGCCAACATCAACGTTCACCAGATCGGTCAGGAACGAGTTCAGCTGCAGAGATCTGTCCAACTGGAAACTCTGAGTTTAGATATTTGTAGATATTTGTATATTTGTTTGTGTTCATCTAATTATAATCTATCATGTAGATTATTTAAATTGAAACCTTGGTTAATAAATACCAAATTCTGGTCATTTATTTGAGTTTTAAATCTCATATGTTTAATAAGGCAAACAGTTCAAAATACATTCAGGGATTTTCTTACATTCTTTATAGATTATTATATAATAATGATTAATGATGTTACCATTTAAAGCCTTATTTTATTACATTACTACATAGTTGGGTGTTACAGTCCTCTTCTCTTTGTTCTGTTTGTCATGAACTGTCTGTATCTGTAACATGTTGGTCTGTTTGCCTCCTTCCTCACAGAGAACTGCCCAGAGGACAACAACCTCCACTACCTGTGGCCTGAGACCAAACCCAGAGTCACTCACTTCCTGCCCTGCTTCCCCAACAAGGACCAGAGCGCCTCCAGAACCTGGTAACAAAAAAATACTGCAGTTAGGCCAAGGTCAAACTGTTTTTGATTTTTATCACAGCATGTGGTATTTTGAGGGTATTTCCTTTGCTCAACCTTCGACTGATCAGATTTTTTAAAATTTCACCTCCTTCTGCTTGTTGTAATCTAAAATTAGCCGATATTTGGAAATGTTGAACAGTCCCACAGCATAATACCACCACCCCCATGTTTCACATTCTATTAGGAAGCTTCATCAGCGCGTTTTTTTTTTCCCCCCTTCTGATGTTTTTCTTTATATAAAGAGTAAAAAACTTTTGTCTTGACACAAAAGCCCAGAAACATAAAGAATAAAATAAACGGATGTCAGATGTTCAGTTTTATCACTGTTGTGTTTTTCCTTCTGGAAGTTTTTAATCACTTTTGGAGCGATGTCCAGTTCTTGGTATCGTTTCTGTGCTGCCATGTTTCCTCCATTTGTCACTGATTAGCTTCTGTTGGTCACAGTTTATCTAATCGCCCTGAAACTTCACAAGAAAGCATGAAACCTCGTAAATCTTAAGGAACCCTAATCTCATTAATTGGAAATCATTTTATCTTCTCTGAAGTTTAAACTGAATTTTAAATGGTGTTTAAGCAGAACCGGGTCGCTGGAGAACATTTAAATCTGATTAGCTTCAGTTTGAGACGTTTCATTAATCACTGCTGGCTGAACAAAGACGCTCAGCTCTGATTATCAGTAGATTCACTTAAAAAGCCATGAGGCCGATATAGATAGACTCTTAGTGATTAAACTCCTGGTGACGACAAACTGTTCATTATTGTTTCTAATGCAGAGACAATATACAGCTAATAGTGTTTGTATGTAATTAATGCAAACAAACATAACCGCTTGATCTAATTTCTGCTTCTACTTATTGTTTTCTGTTATTGGTTCACTTTAAAGAACATGTGTTATAGCAGATTATATAATAAATATATATTAACTAGATGTTTGTTTTGTTCGTCTGCTGAATGATTATGACAGAGTCGGACATATTTTGACACATTTAACCTGTTTTTGTCTCTTTTCCCAGTTTGATAAACCCAGAAACCTTCCAGTCTGTCTGGTCGGCTGCAAACCTCACCAACTGCTCAGTCACTGCAGGTACAAACAACTGAAAGCACATTTAGAAATAAAAATATAACTGTCCAAAGTTAATAAAAGCTTTCATTAGCTGAGTTTATCTAAAATTTACACAAATTTAAAAAATGTCAAATGCATTTTAAGTTCGGCTTAATTTGGGATAAATACATTTTCTGAAGAGTTTAAGATTAAATGAAGAATAAAATCCAGAAAATGATTTTGATACAAAATTGTATTAAGTCTTAATTTATACATTCATTTAATTTATATTAAAAGTAATTGAACAAAGAAAGTCTCATCTGGCAGCTTAAATTAAACTGATTGTAAATTAAACAGGTTTAGATTTAATCATGTTTGCCTAATTTTTTATAAGTTTCCACATTAACCCTTAAAGACCATGAATTTAACCTACTGTGTGTTTTTGTAGAAAATGCAGCAGGCGTGGCGGAGCAGCTGGCAAACTTCACCAAGAACACTCTGTCCAGGGAGGAGGTGGGATTCAGACTGAAAACTCATCAGAACCATAATGAGAATAAACCCAACCAGCTGTTTGTTTTCCTTCCTTTTGGGCTGCAGGTCTCTCAGGTCGTGACGAAGGTCCAGGAACTGGTCAGCGTCGCCAAGATCGACACGGCGGTGGCCGAATCAGTGGTCCATATCATCTCTAACGTCATGGTCAGCTCAGAGAAAGCGTCCAACATGTACGTCTTCCTGACCGTATCATCCGGCCTGCTGGACCAGATCCACACGCCTCTGCTGAGGAAACTCAGATTTTACCTTTTCTCCTCCAGAGCTCTGAAAGCTGTGGACGAACTGGCTAAGAAGGTGGAGTTTGATGGTGCGTCGGTGCACATCAACTCTAAAAACCTGGCTCTGGGCGTCCTGGCGCTCGACTCCAGATCGTTCAACGGGACGTCATTCAGCGCCTTCTTCCCTCCAAACTCCACTGACCCCCAGGTAACTGGGCCAGTCCCCGCAGGAAGAGCACGTTCTCCTCATCAATCCTCTTCCAAAGTGCTGATTTCTGTTTTTAATTAGCAAAATCCTCTTTTGTTTTCTTTCTTCTAAACCAACATAATGAGAAAAGCCTCTTAAAATAGGTTTATATGTTGTTTTTATTGTATTTCTGTCCCTGTTAAATGAAACCAATCAGCTGAACTGAGTCCTTCCTGTGTCAGATCGAGTTCGACCGGACAGCCAACCCGTTGGCTCAGGTCACGCTTCCCGCCTCGCTGCTCTCCGGAGTCTCTGCGGACGTTTTCAGCCGCTCGTCTCTGTCCAGGATCAACTTCATGTTCTTCAGCAGCCCCAGCCTCTTCATGGTAGGATGGCAGGGCTGAGCTTCATCGGTGAGGATGAGGGGAGCAGCAGGTCACGCGTCTCTGTGTTTCGTCCCCAGAAAGAGCAGAAAGGTTTGTCTCTGAACAGCTACGTGGTGGCCAGCAGCGTCGGGAACATTTCCATCACGGACCTGCAGGATCCGGTGAAGATCGAGATCGCACATCTGTCTGATCAGGTGCATTTATTTGTCATTTACTTACTGCAATTATTTTTACTTTATGTTTCTTTATTTTTTACCCTGTTTATACTTTTATCATTTTAAATATTTCTTGTGATTTTTTTCTTTTTTGCAAATATTATATTCTGAACCAGTTGGCTACAAAATTTGAGTTATTAGAATTAATTTAAATTTGTATTTTATTCCATTGTTGGTGTTTTAATTATGTTCATGCTAGTTGCCTTTATTTTATTCTCAGATATTGTTTTTGTTTGTTTTGCTTTTCTATACTTTATTTATGTTATTAGAGCTGAATGTGTATTCTTTTTGTCTATTTTTAATTTTATGCACTTATTGTTTATTTTAATTAATAATGGATCAGTTTTGGTTTTTATTTCATTCAATCAGAATTTATAATTTTGCTGGGATTTTTTTTGTTCAGTTTTATATTTCAGGTGATTGATTTAATCATTGTGAATATTTTCAAGTTAAATTCCTAAAATATACTTTCTTTTATTTCTTCAGTAATTTTTCTGGTTTGATTTTAATGTCTCATCTAATTTTTAAAATTATTATTTTCTCTTTTTTAATTTAAATTCAACTCTTTTTTATTTATCAATATTCTCTCTCAGTGTGTTTTTTCAGATATTTTTCCCTTCAGGTTTGGAGCATAAATGAAAATGTTATTCTATTTTTTATGTAATTTTTTTGTTGAGCTGTTTCTTCCTGTTTCCTATCAGGGGTCGTCGCGTAGAAAATGTGTTTTCTGGGACTTCAGCATGAACAGTGAGTCTGTCACTTCAGTTTTATCCTGCAGTTTCTTTTCTGCTTCAGGTCACAAGGTTGTTCTGAAATATTCAAATATATGTATATAATTTTATGTAACAATGATAAATTAATCAACAGCTTTAATCTGTTTGACCGCCACCAGGGGGCGATGGAGGCTGGAATAACCGCGGCTGCAGCGTTTCTAAAGAATCGACCTCCAGCAGGACCATCTGCCTCTGCAACCACCTGACCCACTTCGGCATCCTGATGGTGAGACGCATCACAGACTGGGATCCATCAGACGTCGCTGTTCACATTCACAGCTGTTTCCTCAAACAAACATAAACATAACAAACAAAAAGAAAAGTCCTGCTGGGAGTCAGAGGTCAGAGTTAACGTTGTGAGCATATAAATCTTATCGTCGGCTAACCTCAGACTTCATTCTGAAAACAAAATCACATCTTTCATTTTCCTGGCCTGTGATGACGTTTGAGAACATTCAAGTGGATTCTGGAGGTCATTTAATGTCTCAAACTCAGTGTTTTGGTTCAAGCAAAGGTGGAAAAACATCTCAATGTCCAAACCTACCATGAAAGTGTTTTAGTTAAGAAATGTTTCTAAAAATAATGAGCAAAACAACTAAACTCACAAAGGCAGATCAGGTTCTGTTTGTGTTCCAAGTCGAGCCTGGAAAATAAACCAGCAGTGAAAAGAAATCCTGAAGAGTTTTCTGTGTCTCTGATTCCCTGCAGGACATTTCCCAGACTTCCTTTAGAATCGATCCAGAGAACAAGAAGGTCCTGACGTTCCTGTCCTACATTGGCTGCGGCATCTCGGCCATCTGCTCGGCTGCCACGCTCCTCACCTACATCGCCTTCGAGTGAGTCCAGCCGCTGTGATTCAGTGGTTGGAGTTATAACCACCATTCAGAGAATCAACTAAACGTCCTTTTTTCCATCCTCCCAGGAAACTGCGACGGGATTATCCGTCAAAGATCCTGATGAACCTGAGCACGTCGCTGCTGTTCCTCAACATCGTGTTCCTGTTGGACGGTTGGCTCGCCAGTATGGTCTACAGCGAGGGGCTGTGCATCTCTGCAGCCGTCCTGTTGCACTACTTCCTGCTGACGTCCTTCACCTGGATGGGCCTGGAGTCGGTGCACATGTACATCGCTCTGGTCAAAGTCTTCAACACCTACATACGCAGATACATCCTCAAGTTCTGCATCGTGGGATGGGGTGAGCGCTTTGTGTTTTATAGGATTATGGTTCATTTACAACTCATTGAAAGTTGAGATATGACCAACCGGTGCTGATTCTTGGAGTTATATGACGTCCAAACCTTTTATGCCGTGTGCGAAAATAAAAAAAGCCCCCTCATGCTAGCGCAAAAACTTAGCAAGAAACTGCTTTGTTTTCTAAACTGATGTATTTTTGTTAACCAAATGTATTTTATATTTCATATTAGTATAACTATGTGGTTAATGGAAACGCAGCTATTAGTAGTTTTCTTTCCAGAACTGCCTTAAAAACTGTGAACTATATTTATTCCATTTTAACTGAGTGTGACTGTCTGTTTTTCAGTAGAGTTGGTAAAGATGTGTTGTTCTACTGACATTAAAATGACAGCAAAAAATCACAGGCTAATAAAAGAAAAACATTTATTTCTAACCTGAAATTTTCTGTTAAAGGTATAAATTTGTCACTGAAAGTCTCATACAAAGAAAAACACATTTAAACTGTTTCTAAACTCTTGGATGAAGAGGCCAGTTCAGCTTTGACCTGATCCCTGAGTGGCCCGGTCCAGTCCTGGTTCCTCCAGGCCTGTTTCTGAACCTTCACCTGTTTCAGGTGAATCAGGAAAAGACCTGAAACATGCAGGATTTCGGCTTCTGAGGACCGACTTTGGACATCACTGATAAACATCCGTCTGCGTTTTTCATTTCCCATGTTCTCCTATAAATTCATAAATAGAAAAACTTTTGCTTTGCATTTAAAAAATTAATGGATAAATCTAAAAATATGAGTTTAAAACCTGGCATTCCAACAGCGAAGAAGAGGAGATGTCTTCTGCACTGCAGAGTTCAGAAACCTGAACTGCAACAGGAACCTGTTCTGCTGGACAGCTGAGACGTTTTGCAGAAAGATTAGGACGAATGACACCTGGATCTTTTCATGGCTCCATATCATCAATGCAGGAATGTCTAAAAGTTGGAAGAACAACTGGAAACATTAGAAACTGGGGAAGGCCTTTTATGGGATGCACTGCAAGCTGAAAAGCAGAAATAGATGGATGGACCAGCACAGAGTGGATGGAGGAGCCCAAACTGTCAACTGAAAGCTTTTAGGCTCTGAGTTATTTGCATTCACCAAAACATCAGGGGAGGAAGGATTTGTTCACTTTGAGCTTCTCCAAAAACATCCAGAAGACGATGGGAGAAAAACAGAGTTTAGGATGGAGGCGATGCATCAATCAGGCCGGCGTCAGAAACTCATCCAGAGATCCTAAACAGTAAAAGTTTTCCTCTGCGCTTTCTTCCAGGTTTACCTGCAGTGCTGGTGGGAATCGTTGTCACGGCGAATAAAGACTATTACGGCGTCTTGAATAACCACACCGATGATTCAGCAATGATGTAAGACCACCATATTTGGAGTTGTAACCTGTCTGGTAAAATCCAGAGTGTGTTGTAAATGAACATTTAAATGAAGTTTTTATCGCTGTAGAAGTTATTGTTTCCTCTAAACTTGAATGTTACTGAAGGTAAACCACGGTGGGACTTCACTGCAGCAGCCACAGACTTAGCAGATGTTTCCTGTCCTGCATGTTTCCTCTCAGGTGTTGGATCAAGGAGAAGAGCGTTTTCTACACAACCTGCGTTGGTTATTTCTGCCTGATGTTCCTGCTCAACGTGGCCATGTTCATCGTGGTGATGATGCAGATCTGCGGCCGCAACGGCAAACGCAGCAACCGCACCCTGCGAGAAGAGGTCCGTGCTCAATGTTTTAACATAAATCTGAACATTTTTCAGTCAAATCAGCTTTTGGTGATGAGATTAATGTGTCCAGGATGTCTTTGAAGGTTTCATTTGAAATGTTTAAATTGTTAAATCCTCCACTGTGGTCCAGATTCTCAGGAACCTGCGGAGCGTGGTGAGCCTCACCTTCCTGCTCGGGATGACCTGGGGCTTCGCTCTGTTCGCCTGGGGACCCGTCTACCTGACCTTCACCTACCTGTTCACCATCTTCAACTCCCTGCAAGGTCCTGAGTCCAGACGGCCGTTACCTCCGAACCGAACCGAACCGAACCGACGGCTCATGACTTTAGAGCATCTAAACATTCAGGGTTCAAATGAGGGAGGAAAAAATTATTTTAATCTGAGGGGATTTCAGTGGCTCAAGTTTGATCATCCATCCATTCATCCATCCATCCATCCATCCATCCATCCATTCATCCATCCATCCATTCATCCATCCAGTGAGATCTTTTGGCTCTTTGGTCTCATGTGAAAAAATATCTTATTTTTATAATCTGGTTGTTCAGATTGTACTGCAGCTCCTCCTCATTTATTCAGGCTAAAATTTGCTTAATGTTCAGCAGACATGATAAAAAGTCGCTTCATAAAAGTTTCAACCTGAAATGTTCTTGCCTGATCTCATCTCCTCTCAGGTCTCTTCATATTTATCTTCCACTGCGCTCTGAAGGAAAACGTGCAGAAGCAGTGGAGAAGATACCTCTGCTGTGGCCCCTACAGGCTCTCAGAAAACTCAGGTATCCGTCCGTCCGTCTACCTGCCTCTCTTCCCCACAGGAAGCCCTTCGGATTTGTCTGCCTTGCTGCTGCCAGGTTCACAGAGCTGTGAGAAAAACAAAGGAAGGACAGTTTAATAAAACCTAAGTCACCTCGGCTCTGCAGCTAATAAAAGCAGATAAAACGCAGCCGTCTCTCAGGGAGAGGAATGTCCTCCAGGTGCAGTCAATCTGAGGACGCTGTACTCAACACTCTGTGAACATCCAACATGAAGTTTGACTTCATACTGTAAAAATTCCTTATGAACTTTGTGTGTCATCGCCTTAGAAATGAGGAAAACCTCCTTCAGCCAGGATCACGGTCGTGTTCCTGTCCTGCCTGTGTGTGGGATGAACACAGCGAAGTTAACAACGACCTGTTGGGCGTCTCAGCTGGACGTAAAACAAAAGCTGTTTCCACATTACCGAAACTTTCCACTCATTGACTCAATTTGTCCAAAACTGGAGCACACAGAGAGAGGGATCTTTGATCTTTGATCAAGGTAAACGGTAAACGGCCTGTACTTGAACATGACCCCAAAGTACTTCACTCTACGTCTCATTCACACGGTGCTGGGGGTGAGCTACTGGATAGTAGCTACAGCTGCCTGACAGAAGCCTGGCTGCCGGGCGCCGCCGGTGCAGATGAAACGCCTTGCCCAGGGAGCCGGGATCAAACCAGCAACTTCAGGACAAACTCTTTCAGGACGTCTCTGGAGAGTCCTGCTCTCTCTCCTTCTCTTCTCTCCACTCTTTTCTTTGAGGATTTGGGTCTGGAGACTTATGTTTCCATCTTCAAATTTCAGATTCCGTCTGGTTTTTATTCAATATATGCTGCAGTTTGCAGGTTTCATGGACTGTAACAATGTTCTCTCTTTTGGAGGAGAAACAGACCCAAAGCATCACAGATCTCCCACCGTACCTAACCACCTGGATATTGATCTGTTTCAATAGAGTTATGGGTAATTGATGATTAATGTGGCCAGGAAGCATTCAGTCTGCAGACCAACAGAATTAGATGGTTGACAAAAATCTGGAAACAAAAGCCAAGACAAACTGAAGCTTCCACTGAAGTGGGCGGAGCCTCGATATTTGTTGTGTTTGTCGATCGGGGACCTGAACGACGCAGACGCCAACCGACCTGTACTGTAACCAGAGAAAGAGGACCGCTCCAAGAATCAGACACATTTACACAGAAATGTTTCATTTTGCACACAACCCCAAAGTCAACACCCTTAAAGGGACAGCATTGTGAAAAATCAACTTTTTTGAGCTTTACATCATGTTATAAATTAATTCACTCATCACCATCATACCTGAAGTTTTACCTTAATTCATTCATACATGTTTGAGAAATCCTTTAATCTCCATGGCAACGAGTCAGCTGTCCAAAATGCCTGAGTGGACACAGCAGCTCCTCCTCAGAACTGCAGCGTCCATCTGCCCTCCCCACTCAGCTCCTTCAGACTAGCCAGCAGCAATTAGCAAACACCAGGTGGAACTGAGCTCATTATAGGAGCTGATTCTCAGTGAAACGCTGGTAAAAACATTGCTAAAGGGTAAATAGAGGAGCCATGTTGTGATGACTTCCTGGAGTTTTTAAAGAGACAGAGCCCCACTTTCAATTTGTGAAATCAGGAAGTCATATTTGACATACATATCACTTTTAGAACAATTGAAGGTTACACAGTTACTTGATTATGCTATAAATTGGCTCCATGTGCCTGGAAAAATCATTTCTACTCCAGGTAATCACCTGATGTGGCTTACTGGTTCTGTTTGCCTCCTGCAGACTGGAGTAAAACGGCCACCAACAACACGAAGAAGGTGAGCTCAGACAACCTGGCCAAGTCGCTGTCCTCCAGCTCCTTCGGCTCCAGCACCATCAACTGGACCTCCAAGGCTAAAGCCACACTGACACCGTTCTCCAAGCGAAACAGGAACACAGGTGAGACGCCTGGCTAATGAGAACCCCACATGAAAGTGTTTTCATGCTTGACAGATCAAACAGGACTGTAAGAACCTGGAACAACTCTGAACACAGTAGTTTACTAAATGAACGTCTTGCTGTGAGAAAATGAGCTCAGATATAAAAGAGTTTTTCCTTCAACCTTAAGGTCTGGAAACAAGGGAAGGAATCAAAGTTCACACAGTCGGACTTTGGTCTTTAAAGCTACAGTGAACAATAGTTTACCAATCTTTGTAGAGTCCTATTGGGGGGACGTTTCTGCTTTTCTGTCTAGTCTTTATAACCGATCGTGTTTTACAAAAATAAAATGTCAGAAACAGAAAATTAAACCTTGTAAGAAAAATAATTTTACACACGATGCATGGGGGCTTCAACCAAAGTCGGTCAGAAACTGTATCAGAAGGAAAAAGGCCAGGGAATAAGATCCGGCAGTGAATCATCCCACTCATCCTCCTCATTATTCTTTTCCTCTTCATCCACTCATTTTTCTCATCATTAATCACAACATGCAGCCCATTTTTCAACCCTTTTATCCTCCTTGTCATTTTTATCATCGTCATATTTGTCATTGACAGATTTTTCTTTCCGTTCTTTCCGCTCATCATTCTTTTCATCCCGCTCATCCTCTTCATCATCCTTAAGGACTCGGATTCGTTCTGTTCCTTCTTCTGTCACCTTATGTCACCTTTCTCTCTTCTCCTTAAAATGCTTCATCCCACTCATCCTCTGTGACCCAACTTGATCGTATTCCTTAATGTTTTTTCAACCTGTTCATCCCAATCATCCCTCCCATCATATTTTATATAATCCCTCTTTCATCCAATGTTTTCTGGTTTCTATTCTTCATCTGTTTTATCCCACTCATCCTCTTCGTTATTCTTGGCTCTCTTTTCATCCCACTCATCTTCCTCAGCAGTCGTCACAACTGCTTCCCTCTATGAGTCCCATTTATTCTCCCCATCCGCATTGAATTATTAATCCGATTAAAACCGTTTCCACTCAGTCTTGTTCTCAGTCCAGTTTAGTCTGATCCAGCACATCATCCTTTTGTTTCTCCACTGTAAATATCAATCCTCGCCGTTTTCCTGTTTCTTAGGTGCCATCTGGAAAGTCCTAACTATGAGGTCTTTTGTCTGCTGAGGCAGAATACCAACACCCACATCTCATTGTTCTGAGACAAACAGCCTCTTTGGACGTCCATTAACGCTGTTAACTAGTAAACTTTGCTAATGATAAATTAAGCCTTTTATTTCCTCTAGTTTGTTCGTTGTACCACGCTAGAATTAGTGGAAAAATCACAGCAGTTGTTCCTTTGTAAGTAGATGATTGTTAAGAACAATCAAATCGGAACCAGGCTGCCTGAGTCCCTGTTTCCAGACTGTGTGTGCAAACAGTCATTGTTCTGTTCATTTTGTTGCAAGTTCTCATGTGTGTGTGTCTGTGTCTGGTGTGTAGAGAGCTCATCAAAGCATTAACAGGAGGAAACCACCTGCAGAGGTAAAGATGATGTCATGTGATCCGCTTCAGGTTTCCCAAAACGCCTCTGAGTGAATCTGAATTATGCAAATCCTCAGATTCACCTTTTCACAGGATGAAAAGTCCTGAATCAGACGTTTTGGGAAAATGCCGCCCGCTGAGTGTGTTGTGATTGTCTGCTCGCTGTGATGTCACACTGTTTCCAACCCGAGACGCTTTGAAGGGTTTGAAAACCAAACTCCACCCGCTCAGAGCGTCCCAGGATGCAGAAACAAACGCCCACTGCCAGTCTGCATCTCTGCTAACATGTGTGGTGTGCTTTGGTTTCCTCTCAATAGTTTGCTGTTATGGATTCTTAATAACAGCCTAATGTGCTTCGTATCAGTCAGTCACTGATCATGTGGGTTTGCTGTTTGGAATTAACACCAAATGTGAAAGACGTCAAACATTGTTTATATGTTGGGATGAAATAAACTCCAGTGGGAGTGAATTGATCTGGCTCTCATTGGCTGGAATCACATGAAACATCTGTTCTCCAAACTCCACCAAAGCTGCAGCATTTCAATCATTTCTACGATTCTTTCATGAGCCGCCAAACCGTAACGCAGCTCGCAGATAAACAGCTAAACTTTAGTCTGAAATGTTGCTGTAGATGAGTTCATTCTAACTTTAAAGTTTAAAAAATCTTTTTTACAATAAATATTAATTTTTTGTCTTTGATACTTTAATATTTTTTACATAAAGTAGACGGGTACATCAGAACAGACCAAAACATTTCTCACGATAAAATATAGGAAACTGTAAACATTTCTTTAAAAAGGACAGATCTGGGACCAATTTTGTGTTTTGAATCTAAAATGATTCACAACTTATTTTTTAACAAAAATCTGTCATTATTTAAATTAAAATGTTTAATTTTAATTGTTGTGACCCAAAAGTTCTTTTAACTGAGAATTTTCCAAAGTTGCTGTTAATCTGACAAACGAGCCTAAAACGAAGACAGACTCAGATTCTTGATTATGATCCGTAAGTTATTATCATAAAACTTTAATTAAACTGTGTTCACTTTTATTTGTTTGCATTTGGACCAGTAATGAAACATGATGTAATACTGCAAAATAAGGCTCTAACTGACATCTTGCTGGCAGAAATGATTTCATGAAGTCATAAAATCGGATTCTCTTACAATGAGAACAAAACAAAAATCTTCTTTAAGTCGTTGGTTGCTGCCTACAGATATTCAGCCTGCCTGCCTTTCCTGGTTTTACTGAAGACAAACAGAGATTTGGGAGTTTATTAAAACCTTCCAGTCAATTTAAAGTTACTGAGGATGTTTAATTTGGGATAAATATTGTGGGGTACTAGTAGGACCAAAACCAAGCGGTGTAATTTCCAAATTTTCTGATATTTATTGATTTAATGGAGGTTATTTTTGCTATTTGAGTTCCTTTCTGGTACACTTTGCACCACCTCTTTGTACTTTGGGTTTTATTGGTACAACCTAAGGAATAATCACCAAATCCACTCAGTTGACAGGAGCAAAGTGTTTCAAGCAGAAAGTAATGTGTGCTTTAACTTCAAAACGTGTCCATCTGTTTTTACAGACCATTAAACCTGTGGATGAGTTTCTAACCTCTTCTAAAATCTTTCCCACTTCATGTCTGACAGCTGAAATTAGCGGCCGCTTGTGAGTTCAGCTGGACTTTAAGTGAGCACAGATGGTTGTATTTCTTTGCATTAAGTTTTTATCATTATCTAAGTTTCTCTAAACAGATTCCTCATGCAAATGAACATATAATTTTTGTTTCGCCCACAATAGGTGTAATTTATCAGTGATAAATTTCACTAACCTTCATTTGGCTCTGTGTGCCTTTCCAGAACACTTTTATTGGCTAATCGTGGACGTGAGTGAAGTAAGAAGATTTAATTTCTGACAGTTTTGAACAATTCTTCGGTTTGTACAGCTGGGAAGGATTTAATTCCTATTTTGTCTTTAGTTTGGCATTTTTACAGCACAGGAAGCGAGTCCAGCTCGGCTCGCCGCTGGTTTGGCAGCTCACACGGTGGGCTTCCTTTTCACTGCATCGCCACACAACAGTCAGAAATAACAGATTAACACCCGAGTCTCAGTATCTGATTTTTATCACCAGGTGGGCTGGAAGAGGCTTGTTTGTCCAACACATTCCACAAATACACAGTTGGGTTGAAGTAGGAGAACATGGAGACCGGGTCAGCACCTTCCTGGTCCTCTGGAGCTAAGTGATGTTTTCTCGTAGTCAGTGTCTCAGGAAGCTTCTCTTCCAGCGCGGAACATCTTCATTTCCACACCGCAGCTCCATCAACCTGATGACTTTCACTTGGAAGAACCTGAACACCTTAAAGTTTCTGCCTCAATAAATAATCTGTTATCCTTGGAGGGTGTCAGGTGGCGAGAAACTATACGGCAAGCAATTAGTACCAAAAATACTACATGTATTAACTGTGTTCTGATGTGTAAATAACAGGATGCACCGCTTTTTGTGTGCAGTCAGTTTCCTCTTCCCTACATTTTAAATGTACCTGAATGGTTTTGGGTAAAAGTGTAATGCTGAGACCCAGAACCACAAAAATGTGAAATGTGAAATAAATGACAATAAATACAATTAGAGAGGGACTTTATCCACAGGTGGAGACACCCTGAAAAGACAAACATGCAAATCCGTCTGCACAAAAACCGTTTATGAGGAATTCTTATTTTATTCTCATTTTTTAAACCCGCTTTGATTTTGTCCATGTTTTAAATTAAAGAGCTTATTTCCTAACTCAATGAGAATCAATAAGTGAGATCAAGATTTTTACATTTCCCATCCCTCGTTGCCCCTCATTGTTCATTTGCAGCTCTGCGTTTCTCTGATTTTCCTTTCCCACCGAAACGCTGCAGCTCGTTCTAGGGGATCCAAAGGAGTTTCCAAACCTGAAAAGATGTATTATTGTGATTCTCAATGCACTTTGACGTAAATACCATTACCATAGTTCAGGTATGCAATCTTTGGACATTTTCCCACAATTTTCCAAATAGAGTAGATACCAAATCTGCTCTGAAAACTCCTTTGCATCTCTGAGGATGAGTTTGTTGGGAATCCTAAGGCTGGATCAATCCATATCATGAGGAAGAAGTTTCTCTTGTAGCCAAATTAGCTGCTATTTGTCTCATTTTGGGTCGCCTGGGAGGAAAAAACTCACATTATGACAGAGTCGCTCGTCCCGTTTGACCAGAGTTGTAACGTATAGATCTGTTAGCTGATCTACGGTCGGACATTCACAGAGGCCTGTTACCGTTTCCACATGGATGGGAGACCTGTCAACGTTCAGCCACTTCGCAGATTAAACCTCGTAAACCACAGATGAGCACACTGGAATAACACTCAACAATTTTGGAAGTAACACCTGATTAACTTCCAAGCACGACCAGGAAAACTTTCCAACCGCCGCCTCTGTCGTTTTGTTGGCAGCGATGGGAATGAAAAAATGTCTCCAGAAGTCTTGCAGATCAACAGTCCGGGGACACAGACTGAAAAACATTGCTCATTTAATGTTTTTCAAATCATTTTAATCAAACTCTGTAGTGTGCTGCCTTCCTGTTCTCATGTCAGCTTTTTGGCTGATCCCACAGTAAAGCAGAACCAGGTTATCCTTCTTTGTGCAGTTCGTCACATTTGAGGCATGAAGGACAGTCTGATCTGATGTCCTAATGGTTCTGATTAAAAACACGTTCTGTTACATGATCAGAGATCTGCACACATGTGGGCCTCGTTTCCCTGCTATATCTGAGGAGCTTCAGCTGAATCAGAGTCCAGTAAATGTTGATGTCGCTGCGGCCCTGGTACGCTGTGATCAACAAGTCGGAAGACGTTTCTTTGAGTTCAAAGTGCTTTAAAGGGAAACAGATGAACAGACGGATGGATGTTTTCTACAACGACGCTCACATGGCTGGAGCTGTTAAATATCGCTCAGTTTTTACAAGTTCTGATGAAATGTCCCAGCATGGATTCACGTTTTCATGTTTGTCAAATTCTGATGCCGAAGCTGAACCTGTTGGTCACATTTTGTAAGTTTGTGCAAACTGCAGCAAATAAACAGTATAGGCCTTCCTAAATTCATAAATTCTGCTTTTGTTTTCCAGTATCACACCATTTTTTCACAAGCCACAATTTCCTAATCCAATAAAAACTGCTACAAATGTTCTGATTCAGGCCTTTAACCCTTTGAACTGGGCGTGGCATTCGGACCTCTGAGGTAAATGTAAAGACTTTGTTCAGCAGATCTCCTTCTCCGCTGCCAACAAAGTCTTTCTCTGCACAGCAGGATTCTGACTGAGTCCCTGCCTGTATGACAGCGTCACGCTGGCAGTGGAAGAGGCCTAGCGAACACTAAATGTGCTTGGTTTGGCCGGAGATGCGTATGTTAAGCTTGACTGCTTTGGCACCTGTTGTACAACAAATTCCCAAGAAATGTAAACCTGAAAAGGCAGCTGGTGTTGATCCGGTATGCATTCACTTAGCATTATTAGTACGAATTCAGACAGACGCAAACAGATGGAGAATGCTAATGAGTTTTCTGCTGAAATTCACCCAATAATCATGTTGACTTTGGCACCTGGTCTCCTGTTTATGCATGTATCCAACCAAAATGTCTTGATTGGCTTCACATTTTCCTACAGGATGTTTTCGATGGACTCAGACCACAAGAACTATTAAAATCTATCAACTGTTAGAATCCTCTAATACGGTTCTAATAGTTAAAGAACAAAAGCACACAAACCCTTACGGACGATCTCACTGGGGTGAAATCCTTTGGAGCCAAACGTTGCCTTTCAGGCCACATGACAGGGAAGAACCACAAACTCTCTTTTTATTAAAATAAAACAAAAAAATCAGCTTCTCTTAATCTAAAAACCTGTTTCCTTTCTACTGTGAAAATAAAACTTGTAGACACTCTGCTGATTAAAAATAAGTTTTGTGTGCAAAAACTTGTCAATTCCAGTTGTTTCATGTAATTCTTCTTAAGCCAGTTTTAATTTTGTTTGAATCAAATAAAACGTGGGGCATATTTTAAATTAAAGAGTTTATTTCCTAACTAGATGAGAATCGATAGATGAGTCTGAATCTTTGTGTTCCGGTGGTTAGTTTAAGTCAATGACCTAATGAGTTATGCTGTAACTCAAACCAGAAAAGATGCATTGAGGGTTTTTGGACTCATAAAAATGACCCCTAATAACTCAAATGACGGCACCCAGTCTGCTTCCTGACCTGTCTTCTGTCTGAAATCCTGTCCTCTTGGTCATGATTATGACTCCAGTTAAGGTTCAGACAGCAGATGAAGCGTTTTGCCCAATTACACATCAGCAACGTGACCAAGATGTCAACCTACTGGTTACCGGACGAACCCCCTACACCTTCAGCAGCACATCATTTCCATTTCTGTTTGACGGTAGAAACGGTCTGTTAGCTTCATACGTGAACTCTGACCCCAGCTGTGTCGTGTGGAGCCGAGAACATTCCTTCAGACAAAAAGAAGCTCTTAAGGTTTTCACAAGAGTTAAAGAGTCTGTTCCAAAACATTTTCCTCGTGTTTTTACTGGCGGTTTGATCAGAACTGTTCAGCAGAGAGAATTTATTCCTCTGACACTCCTTGTTGATGGTGTACACCCATCCTCTGCTTCCCATGCAGCCCGGAGGGGCTGAGGTGTAATCCCTCTGTCTCCGTACATTCACCGGCTCTGGGAGCTGGAAAATGAAAAGCAAATATGAGAATGGCTGCTGTTGTTGAGCTTTGACACGACGCAGGCCTGCTTCTCTTGGCTCGGCTGTTTCATCTGCTGGTTCCAAAACCTTCCAGGACTGGACCCTTCTGGAAGAACAAAGGCTTCAAACCAACAAGCCACATTTAGGAGGGAATTTTTCTAAAAGAAAAGCAACAACCAAACTGGTTTGTGGTAAGCTAGTCAGCTTTTACTAGGCCAGTTTTCAAATGGCGGTATTTTGGTTTAGTTTTTAGTGCAAATATCTTAGCAAACTTAAATGACTCAAAAGTAGCTTAAATATGTTTTCAGCAAGATGCATGGGCTTGTTTTTAGCCAAATGGATTAAAAGCACTGGTCCCACTGACTGATTATTTCACTTTCAACATGCAGATCTTATATTGCTGATCATTTGTTCACTGCCTCCTGGTCTGATCCACAGAGTTTCTCTTAGAGGTCAGCATGTTATCACAGTTTCCTCTGGTTTTCTTCCCACAATCCAGAAACAAGTATTTTAGACTAACTTGTGGTTCTTCATTACCCTTCGGTTTCTTTCTTCACCTGGTGGTGGTCTGAGGTATTGCATGAGTCTGAGACCCTAAGCATCAGAAAGCAGGCAAAAAACACGAAACACGTGAGAACCAGAGGTTTTCTTTCTGATGACTCCTAAATGAGAGCCATGATCTGATTTGCGGTTTTTCATATTTTCTTGCATAACAGTGGAAACGTTCCCAGTGGGAATGTTACTTCCTGCTTCATGGGTGAAGCACAGCATCACTGCACATCTCTGCTCATCTGTTCTGTTTCTTTCACACATCCTGACCTCAGTCACATTCCTGATCTTTCTTTACTGCTGGTTGATTTTGAAAGCATAGATTTTATGATAATTTAGACCGTGATGTGTCTTTTTTAGTGGAATAGCTCTTTAAATTATACGTTTATTTCAGGTTTGTGATTCTCGTTGCCCTGCTTTTACATTTGCTTCCTAACTGTCTTGTTTCCGTCTTTCTCTGCAGACAAATGTTTCTCCAACCAGACCAGCCCCAAGTGTGTCTCCTCATCCTCTTCCTCCTCGGATGTGGAGCCTAACTCGTCTTCCTCCTCCTCCTCCATCCTTCCTGTCAGTCAGATGATTGACAAGGTGAGAGATTACTGCTCCACGCGCACCGACAACTTCTACAAAAACATCATCATGTCCGACAGTTTCGCCAACTGCACCCGGCTCTAGAGCTGCAGCTCCAGCTTCTGGAAGACCTTTTCTCTTTGTAAATATTCACGACTCGCTTTCAGCCTGGGATGCGCCTCGTTCTGGAACATCTTCAGGCGTTTAAGGCTCCTCTGTTGTTGCCAGAGGAGATTGTTCTGAATCTAAAGGAGCTTGGGGAATCTTTGCAGATCTGACCGGGAACGTCTTCTGGAACGTTTCCTTTTCCGTCCAGGAAAACGGATCAGCCTTTCCGCCGTCCTATTACGCACCTACAATCTTAAGGAACATGTTTTATTTTATTGTTTTCTTGTGTTATATGTGTTTGTTTGGTATTGTATAAGTAGTAGGAGTTTTACAATGTGGAAATCATTTAGATTGAGAAATTTGTTCAAGTTCAGCTCATTAAAACAGAATCAGTGACATTAAAATCTAGTCCTGTCCTCAAAATTTCTATAAATTATGACAGAATCAATAATTCAATAATTCCCCAAACCAGCTTTAATGCAACACAGAAGATTTTCTGATGACCAAACGAGCAAAGTGTCTCAAGGCCAGAGAAACAACTGGCTGTTGCAAAATAAATTATTAAAAATATAACAGCTGCAAACCGTAAGAAGCAAAAAAGTTATTTTTCAAAATGCTTGGTGGGAGTCCACAGCTGAGGGCTCCTGCTTTCTGCATGGAGGGTCTTTCCTGGTGGTTGTTGGTGGTGGACTTTAATTATAATAAATATTTACATAAATCTGACTGAGATGAGACTGAGATCATGAATTAGAAATAAATATCTGGACCTTATTTAGCCATGAACGTTTAGACTTTCTTCTCTTATATATTCCACACAAAATCAGCTCAATAAAAGACTATAAATCATTTAAACAGTCGTCAAACCACCAATACTGTAGCAGCTTAACTGATTTAAATGTAGGCGACATGGACTTATGGTGCCGTTTGTAAAGTCACACTGTCAAAACTGAACAGCAACAGTTTGGTTTATAAAGCCAAACTGGAGAAAAACATTATTTCACTCACAAGTTCACCATGTTGTTCAGTCATTTATTCACTGCTTAAAACTAAATATTTAACATTTAGTCAACCAACTAAATATTTAGCTCCAAACAAAATGTTCAGCAAGCTGAGTATTTAGCTTCAAGCTAAGCATTTATAGTTACCAGGGTAAATGCTTGATTTTAGACAACATGAAGCCACCTGTAAGCTAAATATTTAGTTAAGTATGTAGTTGGTAAGCTGAATATCTAGCTCAGTATATTTGATTTGAAGCTGTGACATTTATAAATAAATGCATAACATGATGAAATTATTTACCAGCTAAATAACCCAAACTACTGCTGGTCATTTTTGACTGCATGTGTTTTATTTACTATTGCAGCTGTAATACAAAAAATCTTTTCTGTATTTCCTGAGTGGTTGAGAGCTAAATGGTGGTTAATATGGTGACATATTTCCGTATTGTATAAGTTATTTTCTGGCAGTAAGTATGTCTTTAAGTGTTATGGAAACATCTGGCAGTGACCACATGATGCCTCCTGGATTCATTCAGGACTGAAGCTCCGCTGCTCATGCAGACAAAAACCTTTTCCATTTAAACTCAAAGAGAGGAATGTTAATCATCACTTTAATAATCTGTTTATACACACAGAATAAGCTATAAAGAGCAAAATATGGCAGCAGTTTTCACTCTGATGTAGCTTCAGCCTCACCAAAGACAGAATACTTTGGGTGAATTTTGCTTCCTGAGTGTTCACTAGAACCAAATGATCTTTTGCAAACTCTGCAGAGCACAGAAACCCTCCTGGAATCAGTTTGAGACACGTCAAGTCACAGGAACAAACCCTAAGTTAGAAACGACCCATAAAACCTCCCAGTTTTCCACATCCACGCGTCTCCAGGATGACGAGGTGCTTCAGTTTGGAGCTATAGGGTGGTCAGAGACGCTGATGCGATCCTACTGTATCATGTAACCGCCGGACTGTAAAAAGGGAAAGAGCCGGAGAGAAATGGGCTGTTATGTTCTGTTGTCTTTTTTAATACTGTGATGTTTGTTTGTGGAGCCATATCCTCTGTAAATAGTGATCTCTCTGTTCGATGTGCCTCATTCTGTGTGTGGATGCAGGAAGCTGCAGTCCGGATCGTTGTGAAGCTCCGAGTGCAGAACGGATGAGACGGGAAAGACCAAACGGACTTGGTCCAGATTAGACTTCTGTGTTGTTAGGAAACTGATCTTTGATTTCTCTCTGCAGCTGTTTGGGTGAAGATTAAATAAATACACTTTATTGTTACATAAGCAGACTTTTTCCACCTTTATGCTGCTTCATTTTACATTTGAGAAATACAAAAAGAAAGCCCGACCAAACGCAAACGGAGGCTCAGTCAGTCTTTGCTTCTCCTGCCAGGTTAGTTTTAAATCTGGCAGCTTGAACGTGGAAAGAAATGTTTTAGGGTGATAAACAGTGATGTCTCTGCAAAAAGTATGAAAAATGAGGAATCAGTGGGGAGTTTTCCACAGAGCTGCACATAAAAACTCATTTTCTTGTAATTTTCAATGTCTATGAAGCAGAAGGAATAAATAAACTCAATCAATCTTAGAATCAGGAACCTGTTTTGTGTCTGGCTTAAACATTGACCACAGTCTCTAAGAATTAAAAGGTTCATTTCGCCCATCTCAGTGAGCCAGTTTTATGATATTTCCCACTGGAAGAGGGAGGAAACCCAAGAACATTGTTTTTGGGGAAAACTGTAAAAGGTTTAGCAGCACAAGTGAAATCCCATCCCGGTCCCTCTGTGTGTTGGCACCGGTTTAAGCTAGTGGTACCTTTAAAGGGTCATGTTCTGCTTTTCTATGACTTTCACCAAATAAGCCAAATATTCACATGGAAAACCCTTTCCTGAAGTCTGATAACTGGAAACAGGATAACATCGCCCCTGCAGCTTTGGCTGCAAAAACAACATTAAAAATAAAGATTTTGGATATTTAATGACGCTACAGTGGACCCCGACTAGTTCAGGTTCGGGTTTTTTTGTCTGTTTACTGAATGTTTTTTGTAGAGCATTTAAAATATATTCTAAAAAATAAAATAGCTAAGCACAATGCTTGACCAGCATTTGAAAACCAGCCAATCCAGAAGTCTAATTTATTTTCCTTGGTGCTGATTGGCTGCATTGGCTACAATGAAGACCATAGATATTATCCTCTGTAACACTGACAGGCTCCACTGTGCATATTTTAACTGCTAAAATATGCAGTTATAGACATTTTTAGAGCAGATTCATGCATTATGGTACGACTAATTAGTAGAATTATGAATTAACAAACTAGAGAATAAGATGATTGTGACTCACTGGTGATTTGTGTTTCCCTTGTTGGAGGCCACAGCATCCATCTTTCCATCAGGCAGAAACCAAGAAGCTTCAAACAATCAGACGCTGTTAAAACTGTAAGTTGAATTGAAAGAAATCTTGGACTGTAAGTGTCACCATCCTCTGGTGGACCCACGTGTAATCTTTGATGCATTTACAGCGTTTTATGTTCGATATGATATTTTTAAGACTCTTCCATTCCAGTTAAATTTCCAGATTCGGTTTGGTAAAATCCACCTTTCTGTGACCCGTTTAGACGGTTGACGGTTCCTCTGTGGTAACATCTGACCAGTCTGGACTCAGAGTTCTCATTATTTCTCTCATTTATTTAACTTGAATTGAATTTTTTTAATACGTTTTGTTGAATACACCGTTTGTCTCCCGTGGTTAACCACACAATCGTCTTTTTGGATCTCGACCCACCGGTTCTGGCAGCAGCAGAGTTCAGCATGAGGTCCAGTGCGTGGTCAAGGACGCATTTCACCGACCACCAGAAACCACGGGTCGCTCTTTCTTTCCTTTTCCCAGCATGGCGGAGGAATTTATTCATCAGCTCACCAAATAAAAGCCAGAGAGACTCAGGCTGGGAGAGCGGACGTCCTGTTAGAGGAAAAATGATTATACGTTTTCTCTTGTTGACCAAAATACAACCAAACTGGGCCAAAACACTTCATTATGAATAAGTGAGACTTAAATATTACCTTCCATTTTAAAATAGAAAGGAGTATTAAAGGAAACTTTATTGATCATCTTTTAAAAATAGGGTTTAGAAAGCCAGAAGTGGTGTTCTTAGAGCTAAAAGCAGTTTGTGTCTCATCTTCAGCCGACTGCATCCAAAAATCACAGAGGATTTTTATTTATGGTTTATCAACCAATCAAGTTTATTTATAATGTGCATTTTAGCAACAAGGCAGCTCAAAGAGCTTTACATCATAAAACATAAACATCATCAAGCATCAATCGTTGTATATTGAAGTTCAAAAGCATCTCTAACCAGGTGAGTTTTTAGCCTTTAATGGAGGTCAGTGTTTTGGCTGTTTTGCTGTTTTCTGGTAGTTTGTTCCAGATTTGTGTTGCATAGAAGCTGAATGCTGTTAAATCAGATGGTTTATGTTAATATTCAGAATGAACAAAATAGTTGATGTAAGCAAGGAGCATGTTTGAAGTTCAGTTCACATGATTACATAATAAAATTTAAAGACATTTATATAAAGCAATCTAATAAATCTTAAATCCTAAAAGATACTTAAAATATAAAACTTTTAAAAGTTTTTTATGATAGTTATTAGATCAAATTTCTTCAAACATACAATACTCTTATTTACATTTTAGCACTAATGAAGTTCCATACAGTGTTTCAGTTTCACAGCTGTTTGTAAAAATATTTCTTCTCTTTTTTTCTGCTTTTTCATGGATACAGTTTTTTTTTTTTAGGATTCAACAAATATTGCAACTTCTGCCCAAAGTCCAGCTTATAGGAACCTCTTTCCTGTCAAGAAATTGAAACTCTTCATGATTTTGCTGAGTAATAAAATGCCGAGTCACTGGTTGCTATAACGATGTCCACCTATTTGTTTAACTTGTAAGGCATTGAAAAAAGTCCCTGAACTGAGCAAATTATTAAACATCATCACACCCTAAGCTGGATATTCTGTGGCACAATCTTCAAAAATCAACCAACTTATGCTGCAATTTTTGGAAAAAAAAAAACTTTAAAAGGTCCCAGATGCTTCAGTCTGATTTAAAAGAGTAAATAATGTCAGTTATTACTCAGGTTGATCAGCTGCAGCCTCCTTCCTCCATCCACAGCAGAGAAACTCGTCCTGCACCACGAACCAGGGGTGAAAAACTGATCCCCAGACTCGAATGTTCGGTAACATTTTCTGTTTTCTCTCCACCTCATGTTCACCTCTCTGCTAACTCTCAGCGCTGGGATTTATCAAACATGCGGTCAGGTCACAAATGCAGAAAATGTGTGAACCCTGTTGCTACTCCATGTGCCATAAGTCCAAGGAGAGAAAACACAAGAGCCCAGAGATCATTTATCATCTGGTGTATGGAGATGAGGTGGTTGACACACACTCAGCGAGAACAAACCCAGGAACGCTCAGGTTTCATTGGTTTCGCTCTCCTCACTGCTGACAGAGACTCTGCTGCCACAGAATGCAGATTACAGCGTGTGGTTTGGAGACGACGAGCCGCCTTGTTCTGAGGTCGGAGGAGGATTTTCAGAAATCTCTAAGACCCTTACTCTAAAGGTTATGATGGTAGATGTATTATAGTGCAATAATAACTTACAGGTAAAAAGGAAAGGCTGTCAGTTGCATAAATGTCTGCTCTCCAGGTCAAAGTAATATAAAATTCTTCAAATTCTTCATATGCTGCAAAATAAATCCATCTGTTTTATGTTCAAGCAGCAGGGATTACTGCTACCTGAGTGACCTGAGGTCCACTCAGACTTACTGTTCTCTACTTTGGGAAAAAACTGTGAGACATGTGTTGAAGTGAGTTGAACTTGTGGACCGTAAACGACTTAAAAATAAAATCCAGTACTGGGAGATTGATCTGCAGCTGCTCAACACATGAAACGACACATAAAGCAAAACTTTGATCCGTCAGGATGAAGAAAATGCAGTAAAACAGGCAGATGAATCTATGTTGAGCCTGACTTTAGGATCCAGCTCTGCTAACTTGCTAATGCATTAGCAGAGATAATAA